GATGATCCCTTATTGCTGAAGACTCCATACCCCTAGCACACAAGACTAAAATGTTTTGAGCTGGATCTGGCCGGGCATGTTTTTTTTTTTTTTTTGTTTTTTTTTTTTTTTTTTTTTTTTAATGTCAGCTCCACTTGGCATTTCTGGCTTGCCAACTTATTCATCTCCATGTCTGTGATGAATAAAGCAAAAAGAAAGCTCAGAGCCTCACCAACTTCCTCATGATTTTTTTTTTTAAAATGACATTTGAGAAGTAATAACACACATCGTTACTATGGAACAGACATTGTTCTGAACTCATTACAGATGTTTTGTTTTTGTTGTATGTAGGCTGTTTAAAAAATTAACAAAAAGGAAACCAAGTTTCAAGGAGGTGGAATGAATGTGCAGAAAAGGATAACTGACCAGCTTGGGTGCCCAAATTTCATGCATTTCAAAGAAGGGATTGGCTTTAACGGGTCCTAGGGCCTCATAGAGTACTGGCACCATGCTGTTTTAATAATGCAGGATGTAGACTGAGTAACAGGTGTCAGTCATGATTACAACATGCCCCTCATAAAACCATTTTTGGGTCTGGGTTACCTCACTCAACATCATCTTTTCTAGGTGCACCGATTTACCTGAAAATTTCATGGTTTCATTCTTTACACTTGAATAATGTCCCATTGTATATGTATATGTACCATCAGAATATGCCTGCTTGGAAATTGTTGTGCAGGTGTTTCCTCTAAGCTGAAGCATGTCCTCCTGAGAGAGGAATGGGGTTCAGAAGCCCAGGGATCTAAGGAAACTCTCAAGGGCTGGGAAACTCAGAAAGTTTCAAGACTCACAGGCCGGAAGGTCATACCAACAACAAGCAAATTTCTGGAAGGAAGAAGATTGCCTCTGCCTGGGAGTTGGCTAGTGAGCTGTAGCAGTGAAGCTTCTGCGAGGCATCGAGCGTGCAAGAGTGGGGTTCTTCTATTGTGAGGTATCAACATAGGATGGGGTTCTAGTGCTGGCAGGGATCAATATAGGATGGGGTTCTAGTGTTGGAAGGCATCAATTATGTGTGTGGGGGGGCATGCTGGTATTGTGAAGCATCGGCCATGCAAGAACGGGGTTCCAGTATTGTGAGGTATTAATACAGGATGAGGTTCTAGTGTTGGGAGACATCAATTATGTGTGTGTGTGGGGTGGGGCGGCATTCTGGTGTTGTGAAGCATCAACCATGCAAGGTTGTGTTTCTGGTATTATGAGGCGCCAACCATGCTGGGAGTGGGGGTGAAGTTCTGGTGATACAGCTGCCTTTAAGTCACCATGCTTCTGTATGTAATTCCAATAAACTCATTGGATCACCCAGCTAGAGTAAAGTGAGAGTGTATCTTTGGTCTGTCGCTAGTGTCCTACCTGGGGTTTTTATGGGCTACTCAGGAAAGAGAACAGCACGTTGAGTTTTTTCCTCCAGGAAGTAGTTTATTGTGCTGGCATCTAAGCTTCTAGCAGATTTGTATCTAAAGGCAACCGTCCTGAACATTGTAGGATTAAGGTTTTTCTACATGTTTTGCTTCTGTGTATTCCATATATGGTTATATACAATGTGATTGAGTACTTTAGACTGCTGGGTTTTTAGGGAACTTCCAGGATTCTCATCTTCCTCTGTGTGGTAGGGGGGACAGTCCTCTCTGATGAATGGAGTCCATGTTATGAGTATACATATACACTCAAAATGGCTGATGAAGGAGAAAATATATTTCAATTGCTGAAATTAGAATTATGTAACTAGATCACACACAGACTGTGGCATCACTTGTATGACTTTTCCTGTGGGTAAGAAATGCAATGGAGGCTCAGCTGTCTACCCTGAATACAGAAGAACTTGTCTGTGTGAGGGAGGAATTAAATGCCAAAAGGACATGAAGGAGTTTTCCTTTCCAATGGCTTCTAGCTGGCAGGGAAAGTGAAGCAAAAGGAGGTAGGATTTGTGTAATGACTTGAGGTTTCTTCCAGCGGACAAGGCGTGGGGAAAGGAGGACAAACAGTTTATGCTAAAAAGCCCCTCTCTGGATAAAATACCCTTCAGATCCCATTTTTAGCATAGAAGAAAAGAAAATCCATCACTCTGAATATAGACAAGGCCCTTAAGCATGGCCTGGTACAGAAGAAGATGACAACCAGGGAATATTTTTTTTTCTGAATAGCTTAAATCAGGGAAGACTTTGAAGCAAGAAATAAGAGTCTCTCACAGCCTGACTCATGAAGTCGTGGGATTTGGAGTACCTGTCGGATAAGTCTGGGTGCTCTTGAGGCAGAGAAGATAACTCAAAACCACTTCTCCATCCTTGAGACAAAGGTTGTACAACCTGAGCCAGCACAGTGGAAGTCAGTGCCTGATGCGCTGCCACATGCGAGCTGTTAGGGATGCTTGGTTGATCTTAGCTGAGATTTTGATAAATACAAAAGATTCAAAGGGCAAACATGATGTTCAATTTGCCCAACCAGATAAGACATTGTGCATAGGGGAGTTAAATAAGAAATTGACTCAATCGTGCTGTTAGAACTGGTGTTGAGCTTTGCTCAGCTCCATGGTGGGACAAGATGTTTGTGAGGTATGTAGTACTTTGAATGAGAAATGTCCTCCATAGGCTCACATATTTGAACACTTGGTCACTGGGTTCGTGGTGATTTTTTTGGAAGGTTATAGAACATTTAGAATGTGGAATCAGGCTAAAGAAGTATGTTATTTGGGGTGGGCTTTGAGAGCTCATAGCTTGGCCTCACTTCTTGTTCACTTTTTGCATCCTACTTGAGGTTGATGTGAGAGGGGATCTTTAAATTTTCTGCTCCTACTACCATCCCTTCTACATGTTGCCATGCCTCCCTGCCATAATAGACTCTCACCCTACGCCCTGAATCTGTAAGCCAAAATGAACTCGTTGATAAGTTGATCTTGTTCATGGTGTTTTATAACATTAACAGAAAAGTAGTACAGAATAGAAGAGGCTCAGGTTGATCTGAATGACTTAGACTGGCAAGCAAATCATACTCATAAAATGCTAAAGCAACCAAAAAAGGATGAGAGAAAGGCAAAGCACAGAAATGGGTTTGTAAAGGTTACTCAAAGGCAAATGTATCTAGATTCATGTTAAACCAAATTCCTAAGGAAAATATTAACAGAAATTCAAATACTCTTCTAGGAAACTTTCAAAAGCCTTGACAAGTCTGAGCAACAGTTCACAGAAGACACAAGTGATAAAATAATGCAAGTGAAAAAGATCAAGTTTGTCACAGAAGTATTTATCTTCCCAAACTATACCATGCATGTTTCTACTCTGCATGAAAACACTGGGGAGGTACACTGTTTGCTTAGCTGGAGTTTTTTTTTCAGTAACTACTTATGGTTGATGAAAAAGAAAGGGCTATCATGCTGATCTGGAGCCAGTGGCAATCAGGGCAGGCTAAACTATGACCTTGTTCTCCTTGGGGCCTGAATGGGGACAGGCAGTGCAAGCTTGCTCTGATGAGACCACTGCGGGTAGGAAAATTACAGTAGATCCAATGGCAGTAGTGGTATCCCAAAAGGAGAAAGCAAGGTAACTGATAGAGATTGACTATGTTCTTGAAGGACTGTATGGGGTAGTGTATCTCACCCATGCTGTTGTATTCAACACTTTTAAGTAAACAATTGACAAAAATATTGTAATCTCTTCCTGCTGTTTTGCAACTTCCTAACTTTTGTTTTGTTTTGTTTCGCTTGGCACAAAAGATTGACATTTGCTTAGAGTGGAGAGTGGTAGACCTTCAGAGCTCCTGACCATCCTCTGTGAAAATGTTGTTACATGTTGCTAACTGGTGAGTGTCTTATATCTTTGGAAAAGCATCTGAAAAGACACTAAAAACAGGACCCAAGTTTTAATGAAGGTACCAGTATGAATGGGAAAAGGAACTTCTAGGAATCAGAGTATGAAAATCCAAGTGTAAGGCATGGACTACCTCCCTATATAAGTTGCTGGTATAGGGATGTTTCTGAGGCCCCACATCATACAGGCTATTGCTACTGGTGTGGATTGCATGCTATTGCTAGGTGGTAAGTACCTATTGCTGCAGACACTGCACTAGGTTGTAGGACACAGAGAAGTCAGGATGACACTAAGCTGGAAATTCTTTCTTGTTTGCTGGCTTTGTGGTGCTATCTGCCAGCATAGACTTGTTGCTGACAGTCCTGTTTAGATATCGACCCCATGTGTGACAATACAAACATGCCAAGTATGATGGACTTGCAGACACAATAGGACACAGTACTTGTTTGTACAACCATTGCTTTCCGATTGGATTTAAGGCTTATTCCAGAGGAAATAACTCATTTTTGGTACTTTAAGACAAAAGCCCATGGCTGGAGAGGTCACTGGTACAGGCAGGGAAACAACTCCTAATGTTTTGTTAGATGGATGTGATGTACCTATTAAACTGACTTATAAACTCTTCAGTTTATGCTCACAGATGACTGCTGCTGTAAACCTCAGTCAGTTATGAAGCGAAACTTTTTTAATCTAAGTGTATGTGGTTATTGCAGATATTCTCATAACTGGTCAAGCTCTTGAGACTAAATGACTGTTGCTGTGGTATAGTAGCCCAGTGCTCATCCAAACATGAAAGAAAACAATCACACAACTATATGACCTTCCAAGATTCAGTGAACATCATGGGAAAGAAGAAAATGAAGTAAGAGCTAGATGAAGGGGTAGAGTGTGGTGTAGCTGTGTTCTCCAAATTGAGATTTTTTTCCTCCTACAGGTTCAGAAGATTCAAGAAGCTAATGAAACTTAAAGGGCTAGGTTTTCTTGGTGACCTCTGACCTACCCCAAGTCTATTCCAGGTTCTTCTATCTCATTATCTCTCATTTGGTAAGTGGATCAGTAAATCTCTCATTGCATCTCTCAAATGTGTTTATGCTATATACATCAGTTAAAACAATACCGCTGATTGCATTTAAAGAATCATTTTCCCACAATGGCCTCTTGAGCCATCATTATTTTTTTTCTAGCAGATATCTCTTCAGTTGAAAAATGAGATATTAAAATTCTTCCTTAAAATGGAAATTTTTAAAAAATCCTCAGACAAATCACCACAAATTTCATGAAATAAGAAAGACTACTGATTAGTGTCACAAGGAGAATACATTAAGTCACCTGCCAAAGCTTGACTGTGGCCTGTGACTGAGGGAAGGTGTAACGTGTTTCAGCATTAAGTGAATTTATCATACCATATAGCTGTACGTTTTGTTAGCAATGAGTCACTGGGTGGTTATTATAACAACATAGATGGTGATTACATCATCAAATCTCGCATTTAGGAAAAATCATGCCTATTTGAAAGATACCACTTTTGAAGCTGAAGAGATACCTCAGTCAGTAACACACTTACTGTTCAAGCCTGGACTGACCTGAGGTTGGATCCATAGCCCCCTCATAAAAAGCTGGGCACCATGGTGCTTGACTGTAACTCCAATGCAGGGGACCCAGAGAACAGAGACCCCTGGAACTCACTGGCCGTGCTGTCCAACTATCTCAGTGAGTTTGCTTTAAGCTCAGTGAGAGACCCTGCCTCAAAAAATACAATGGATCACAATATAGGAAGACACCTGACATCAATGTTTAGTGTCCACATGCATGCATGCTTATGTGTGTTTATGAGAGTGTGTGCTCATATGCACACAGCAGCACTAGCATCATCACCATCGCCACTTGCATAATGAAACCCTGATAATGTTTATAAGCTGTAAAGAAGAATTACTGTTTGGTCTGTGAAAGTGTTTTCGAGCTATCAGGACACATATGGAAGCAGTTGATGATGATCTACACACCCCACACCATCCCCTGGAGTCCACATGTACATGCCATGTATGTGTCTTCTGTGTCTTTCAAGCACTTTCTGCAAACAAGCTCAGACCAATGCTGGTGTCGCTCTGGGCATGCAAACTTCTCTGACTGCTGGGCTGGCTTCTCTGGAGACTGCACTCTTCTCAGATACCAATTCCAGGAGGATTTCTGGGCTATTAAAATTAATTAATATAATTTTATAATTAACTTTCATAATATTAAGCTCTTAATTATCCTGTAAGCAGCAATTACAGAGCTCAAGTTCCTCTGCCACCACCCCATTACTTCTGAGTAGAAATTAGCATTCTACCATGGAGTCTTGCTGCCCTGTGGAGAAACCAGAGCCCGTGGGGTGAAGAAGAATAAAAGAAGGCTCCTATTATAGGAGTGGGGAGTGCAACTTTCCCTATGGCTGTTGCTTTGCTAACTTGTGAGAACTGGCCAATGCCGTCGAAGCCAGAATTCCATTCTTGTACCTCCCAGATCTGCAGTTTTGCCCCAGTCCCATGATTGTAGTCCATATAATTTGAGGTTGTGGCTAAAGGCCTCAGACTGCTTCATGGGCCAGAGCTGTGGTTTGTTTGGCTTAGGCTTTCCAGAGACAAACACAAGTATTCTTTCAGGTGAAAGCTAATGTGACTTATTTTAATCATATCACAATGCTAGGTTCTACAATGGGGGGCATTTTGGCTGCCAGTTTCAAATATGGGATATATAGAGGAAGTCTTTAACTGTAAAGCCTCAGGAATGTGCTGGGCACTATAGCTGGTGGCTTCTTTCCTATAGGACTATGTGAAGTTTTCCCAGTAAAGGTCCCTTGCTTCTTTTGGGAAATCAATGCTTTGGTAATTATTTCCAATATTTTCTTATTTGTTGCAACTAATCCATTTTGTTGTTGTTGTTATTTAATCTTTTACCTCCTGGTTGTGATTATTTGTGCTTCATTCATCAAGGGGTGAACCAAAGCACCGGCATGTAGAGTCAGCATCATTCCTTTCCATCTGCATCTACAGGAACAGATAGAATCCTGCCCCACCTCACATTCTGACTACTGTGGTGGACAGCTTATTCTGCCATTTCCTTGCAGAATAATGAATTTGGGGTGCCCAGTTTCAATACCATTGCCATCTTTTCCCTTAGATTGGGCTGGCCAAACAAAGCACTTCTCTTGTCTACTGAGATGAGGCCTGGGACATGTTTATCCTCTATTTCTGGTGTGGTCCTCATTGTCACTGATTCAAAGTACAATCCTCAATATATTCACAACAGGGCTACATCCTGATCAACCCATACATTAGAATGATTCTTAAGTAAAAAACTAATATATTTAACATACCAGCCATCACAACCTAGCCAAGCCTGCCTTCAACATGTTCAGAGCACTCACACATTCACATCATCCCACAGAAGGGCATGGTGAGGAAACCATGCTGCACATGGTTAGTACAAGAAAAAATCCAAATTCAAAGTATGACTTTATGGAATACATATCTCTTTGAAGTTGAAAACTCATACACTGAACAGCCAGTCACAAATCAGAAACTGCTTTACCAACATGACATTTTTATTTTCTGTATTAGCTACCCATGCTGCTGTGTCAAAATTCCCAATGAAAGTTCTTAAGGAAGGAAGGGGTTATTTGGGCTCACAGTTTGATGGCACATTCTAGCATGAGGGGACAGTCATGGCAGCAAGAGTGTGAAACAGCTGCCCACATTGCAATCACAGTGCAGAAATGGAAAGAGGTGCACACTGGTGCTCAGCTTACTTTCTCCTTTTATTCAGTCCTGGACCCCAGCTAATGGGATGGTGCCATCTGTCTTTCTTCCTTCACTGAATCTTTCTAGAAATGCTATTTAGACATAGCCACAGGTATATTGTTGTAGAATATTAATTTAAGATGTGTTATGTTTGTTTATGCTGTGGAAAATTTGCTTAATAATGCAAAGATGTGTTACATGTTTTTTATGTTGCATTTGCTTAGCTCTGTGAAGAAGCTGTGTTACTTTAACTGTCTAAAACACCTGATGGTCTAATAAAGAGTTGAATAGGCAATAGCAAGGCAGGAGAAAGGATAGGCAGGCCCGGCAGGCAAAGAGAATAAATAGAAGGAGAAATCTGGGAGGAAAAGAAGAAAGAACAAGATCAAGGAGGAGGGCATCAGGGGCCAGCCATACAGCCACATAGCCAGCCATGGAATAAGAGTGAAAGTAAGATATATAGAAATAAGAAAAGGGAAAAAGCCCAGAAGCAAAAGATAGATGAGCTGATTTAAGAAAAGCTGGCAAGAAACAAGCCAAGCTAAGACTGTTCATTTATAATTAAGAATAAACCTCCATGTATGATTTATTTGGGAGCTGGTGGTGGGGCTCCCCAAAAGAGTGAAAAACAACCAACTACAGTATGTTTACATATAGATACTAGGTCTAGTCAAGTTGCCAGTGAAGATTAACCATTACAATTCTCTGAGATCTTTGCCCTGATCTTTATGATACATTTGCTCTAATTTGTGCACATGCTCAGACCAGCAAAAAAGTTTATGTCATTCAATGTGTGTGTTCCTAGCTAATTCTAAATAAAGGTACAACTGTCTTCTAATCCAGCTTTCACAATTGTGAGGAAGCATCCTTTGGGCAACCTATTTGATATCATTTCTTTTCCTTTTTTGTGGGTTGTACCTAAAAATAGTACCTGAGAATAGTGGTATCTCATACGGGGCATCTTAAACTTACAATGCTCATTCGTTTTGCCTGAGAAATTCTTATGTGAATTTGTGTATAATAAGTATATAAAAAAATCAAACATTTAAATTTTAAAAAATTAAAACAATTATTTTATAAATACATAATTTAGCATTTATTACAGATAAAGGAATATTTACTGACTAAGGAGATGAAAATGCTTATTTATTTTTACATAAGGAATGAAACCTTGGCTGGATACTGAATGCTGTGAGAGATGGAGTATCTTTAACTGTTTTCAGAGTTGACTGATATTTTCACTTGTAATTGTCAATTCTTGAAATGTTGCTTTGCACAAATACATGGTATAAAATGGCAAAATTGTGTTTCAGATCATTTCAGGAATTATTGGGAATGCTGTCCTAATCTCAAGCAAACTTCACCAAATGCCTTTTAAGTAAACTCAAGTCAAAAATTGAAACATTAAGTTTTAAAAATAAAACATTTTAATCTGACAGAATCTAAAACTGGATTTGATCCATACATGATGAGGAATGATGGTAGAAAATATTAAAAACTTTGTTTCTACAATTAGCTAATTATGTTTCAATAAAAGCAGAAAGCTTTTGTGCATAGAACAATAGTATAATTCATTAAATTCTCAAATCTGAACTGAGGTATTTCAGGCAGCATGCGTTGGTGTTTTGGGGTGTGAAGTCATGTGCCATGCAAAGCCATAGGCTGTGTCAAAACTCAGGCTGTAGTGAAGGTACCTGATAAAACATAGACAAGTACTGCTAACACTTTGAACCCATTATAAATTCTATTTTGAATTCCTCGTTGTCCCTTGTGCTTTCAGTAACCCTTGAGAGCCAAAGTCTTGACAACTCGCACTCACTTCTCAGATCCCATGTGCATTCATAATCACATTTCAGAAGCTATGATCTGGAGCAGATCTATAGCACAGGTATAGGGAACTTGTCTGACATTTCATAGTCCCCGACTTCAACCAAAATTGTATTCTAGTGTTCTTGAGTGCAAAAAGGCTTTGATGTGCTTCACAGAGAAAATCCATAATTTAGAAAGACTTTTGACTTTGCATGTATTATGGGCCATTGCCTAGAAGCTCAATTGTTAAGAAATCAGCCACATATACTAAATAAGGCTTTTCTTTTATTTAACATAGTAACATTTCTTTAATGTCAGTTTTTATCAAGAAAAGTGTGATTAAGAGAACTGTGTCAAAAGCAGAATTGATGCTATCTGACTCCAAAGTCAACACTCAAAACCAGAACTTGTTGCAGTTTTCCAATTCTC